TGGTTTACTCTGTTTCTTTCCCTCAGCAGAATAAAGGCAGTACACAGTTTATATAGTCCATTGTCACGTCACACATCGAAAGACATACGTGTCACAAAGAGACAGTCACATCATAGTCATAACATGGAGTCATTGTAGAGTCCTTGTACAGTCCTGCACGTAGGCCATATTGCTATCTAATACTAACAATTGTTTGAATGAATTTTAAGATTTTCCTAGTTTTTGTTTAGTTTAAAATACAATTTCCCAATGGGCCAAGCAAAAATGACTGGTGGAATGAGAAAAAAGGTGCTAAGACTGATTTGCGTGTTAAAATATAATTGAATCCTTCCTTTTACTACTTTCTTCAAGAATTTTCTGACTTTTATGCTACCATGTTTTGCAGTGAACTCATGTATGCACTTGTCTGTCACCTGTTGGAGACATTCATGTTGAAGGATCCAACCTTGTTTTCAAAGTTTTTATTTTTCTCGTTCAGTTTGAATGCATATCTGCTCATATCTTCAATGTTAACACTGCTTGCTTTGCAGATGGTGACGCAACATGAACAGTTTTGACGTGGTTAGCCATGCTTCTAAGTGAAGTCATTTGTTGTAGATAAACACACTTCAAAGTTTAGCTCAAGTTCCACATGTTTTGTTTATTGTCATATTCATTTTTACAATGGGGATTTTGTTCAAGCGTTGTGAAGGCAGAAGAATTTGTTCTCTGTCTATTATACAAAAATATGTGTAAAGTCTTTTTGTTATCTTCAAAAGAAAAAAAATGAACATAAATATACAAACTCTCACACACAGGGCCATGGCGCACAAAAACATACAAATAGTACAACTTTATCCTGTCCACAACACCGCTCCTGTGCTCAGAGTTTGCATTTAACATTTACAACTTTTTGGTGCTTTGGACCATGTTACGACGTGGTTTCTCATCAAAAACAGACCTGGAGTTGTTGGAGCTACATTAGGAACGTCTGGTACAAAAAGTATCTCCACCCCTCCTGTCTAAAAGCTCCTTTCTCCGTCCTGTAGTAGTATGATGTCATTGTACCACTATGACATCACAGTCAAAGCCGATTCAAAAAGATTGTATTTTCCTTAAATTAGTTTTGGCAATTTACAATCACATGACTCTAATGATCGTCGTATTTGCCAAAACAAATGCATCATATTTTAGGAACATACTAAATATTGCCTCTTTGTACTTTTACCTAAGTTAGGGAATGATTTCAATACTTATACCAGAGTTTGAGAGAGATATATGTGTACATGCATCTAAAAGTTTAACTAAGATTGGTACTTTTTCCACCATCGATCCATTACTAATTTCTTGTCTGTGGTTCTGCTGATTCCAAACTACAAAATGTGTCTTTTGTTTGACTTTCAGCTGTTTTGTGTCTGTGCTCCTCAGATGGACAGTGAAGCCAGCGACCTTCTGAACGAGCTGCAGGTGAAACTCAACAGCGTCCTGGATGATCTGAGCAGCACGTTTGGAAACAGGTGAACAATCTTTCAAAACTTTACACGATGCATATCTGAAATTGTGTTTTTTTTTTTTTTTTTGACAATTATAAGTATCTTTGTATTTAAAATTACATCTACTGTACATCTGTCCCTATGTGTCCCCAGAGTAGTCAACATGCACAAATCATAAATGACCTTTGCTAAACAAAAATCTTCATTTAAAAAAACAATGAACATGACATCCACAATATTTATGTTTACCATTTTAAAGTAGATCATCCAATCAGTGAGCAGAAGGTGGGTTGCATTTGAGTTGCCAGTTCAGTGAAATTTAGCTTTTCTTATCTATCTTCTTGTTTTTAATAAATAAATATATAATTATCACACCATAATTATTCAAATGTAAGTAATACAACAACAAATAAATTCACTTGCATAACACACAGATTTTGTATTGTTTCCAGCTAAACTCCAGTACGTAGTTTTAATCTGTAATCAGTGTTATTCTTCTGGCAAAAAAAAGTTGGTCTGTAATTATATTGACCTCTAAGAGTGCATATTACATACGTCCCCTTTAAAAATGTAAATATATGTTTTCCAGTTTCCAGAGTCAAATGCGTGAGTGTATGCGGCAAATGGCGTCGCTGCTGTATCAGATCAAAGGGCCACTCAACGACAACACCAAGAACCAAGTGGAGGCGGACTCGGACAACATGCTCCGACCGCTTATGGACTTCCTGGATGGAAAGTATGTGAATTTCAAATATTCAATGTTCAGTAGTTATTGAGGAAATGCTGTATTCGATCATAGCATGAAATTAGAAAGTGGGGAGATTATTATGTTTAAGGGTAAAAATAATCAATAATTATTCTTCAAAATAGTAAATATAGAGAAAGGCCTTTAACCAACATGCCTCATCAGGGAGCGCTTTTTAGATAGAAATAGATATTTTAGATGAAGATTTTTTATTTAGTAGTATTGAATAATTAAGTTGCTTTTTGTTTGAATGATTTGTTTTTTTATATATTTTTGGGATGTTTCAATGTGATATTTTTAATAACACTATTTGGATGTATTGGTAAAATGATAGAAGTGATTAGTACTACTTTATTGTCTGCTTTAAATAGGTCTGAGCATTAGGTTTGAAGACAAAGGCCTTTATCTTTTACTGAATTGTATATATTTGGAAACATGCCCTGTATCTATATGTATATACTGTATGTCAATGTCAAATGTATTTCTATAGAACATTTACAACAACACTCTCGGCCCAAAGTGCTGCACAGTATAATACATCAAATTCAAAAACATATATCGTACCCGGATGTATCAAAGTACATATTAAATCCGCAAACCCTAAAGTTGTGCATACATCTATTTCCATGCGTGTTTTTGTCCTCCTGAGCTTGTTTCTCCGTGTGTTGTGCAGACTGACGCTGTTTGCCACCGTGTGTGAGAAGACGGTGCTGAAGCGAGTCCTGAAGGAGCTGTGGAGAATCGTGATGACGAGTCTGGAGAAGAACATTGTGCTGCCGCAGGGAAACGACACCTTTGTAAGAACCCGGTGTTAGGCTTTGAGTTAGAACCATTAGTCAGATGAACCGGTGCCCGAGAGGAGTTTCACCTTTATTCTGTTTCACTTATAATTTTTGAAAAAAACGGTGGAGCCTTAAGGGTTGTATATAGATGAATAGCAATGTATAATGTTAAAGAATAAGTATATCAAAATCTGGCCAAAAGTGGTATTGCAGCCTCTCCCACTCTCCCTGACTCAGGTTGCCAGATATGCAGACGAATCCAGCTGGGAACATAACATCTGAATAGACAAGAGTTTTGTCAACAACAAATCTATAACCAACACGTTTTTCACAAAGGCCTCAATAGAAATTCTAGTTTTATTCCTTGTTTTGTCATATTGTTATCAGCTAAAGAAGTATTCGAAAAGAGCATGTTTTATTAATGCCTTTTGACATATTAGAGCCATTTAATGATGACTTAACATGAAAATCTTACATATTGCTACTTGAAATACATTACAACTAATTTATTGTGACTAAGACTAGACCATCAATGTGAAATGAGACTAATACAATACATTTAAGCTAAAAGTGTTTTCCCCTTTTTGGTGAGAAAATAAAAATAGTAATGTTAAGGGACATTTCATTGTTAAGGTTGTGCACTTTACAGGACAGTAGGAATTAAAGTGTATTCAAACAAGAAAATACACAAAACACCAAACAGCAAGATCATCCATGATATTAGAGAATAAACTCTTGTCTCTGTGCCAATCAATATTAAACATAAAATATCTATAGCCAATATTTCTTTAGCTATAATTGCCATTGGGAGAGAGCAGCTCATCGAAGCGCCCTCAAACTAAGTACACTTAAAAAGACTGGATTTATCAGTCAGGGCTTCAGAGCTATATTTACAATGATTGCTATGGTGATTCTATCAAAAAGATGACGTCAGAGTACAATTACCCAAGAACAAGCACAAAGCAGTTACATTAAATGAGAGGAGTAGTTGGGAAAATTATTACTTGGGATTATAATAAAACCTGGAGCATAATTATTATTCTGAATGAGTGCCCTCTTTAGCAGGGAAGCCATAAAAAATTTTGACCTCTGGCCCTGTACACACATAATAATCGATTTAATATTGGTTGACATGTATGGATGTATGGATTTATTATTCCAGTTGCAAATGTTGGTGTTTGAAATTGAGTTTGAGTTATGTTTTTATAATGTTGCTTTAGGGAGTAAAGTTTATGACAGTTTATCACATGAACTGTATACATTTGTCTTTCTCAGGGAGCACAGATCCTATCCGCTGCCAAAGAACTGGGCCAGCTGTCCAAACTCAAGGTGAGGTCCATCTAATTCCACATAATACAAAATGATTGAAGTGTATAATGTTACGTGACCTGATGCTTTTACCTGCTTCAGGATCACATGGCTGGAGAGGCCAAGAGCTTGTCTCTGCGGCAGTGCGCCGTCATGGATGTGGCCCTGGACACCATCAAGGTCAGTGCAGGAGTGGGAAGTAAATCTTTAATTTTGATTCAATTTGATTTTGATTGAATTGAAAGTATGACATGTATTTTTTGTTTGTATTACATATACTGTACATGTGACGACAATACAATTCTCATTTGATATGGTGAAAACCATGCTACTGCCTTTGACATTTCAAACCTTTTTGTTCATTTGGTAAATATTTAAGACAAATACTTCAATCAAGGGAAATATGTGTTTCATTAATTATAATTTTTGTTGGTCCAAACATAAATAGTTCTATTTCATTACTCCTGACCGCCAGATTCACGTATCTGTGATGTAACCTAAGTTTTATAAAAGTACAAATCTGACCACAACATGTGGTCTATATCTCATTATAAACCTGTATGTAGAGTCAGAATAAATCACTTCTGTGTGGTGGCTGAGCAAATAAGGGCCTGACGCTCCACATAAAAAATAAGAAATGTCCACAAAAGATTCTTCTGCCCTCTGGTCGCTGCTACAGGAGTCTCCGGGCCAGGACCAGTAGGCTAAGAGACAGTTTTTATCACAGAGCAGTCACTCTCCTGAACTCTCAACCAATTAAAGCCCACTAAATGCACTTTAATGTAATGTAATATAATTAATGTATATACTAGCAATAGCAGCTTGTACAGTCTCTCATGTATGCATTATATTATCTGTGTTGTAAATATTATCCTATACTTGCGCTACTGGTTAGACGCTAAACTGCATTTCGTTGCATTGCTCTGACTTTGTAATGACATTAAAGTTGAATCTAATCTAAACTAATAATTTATATGTATTTTAAAAACAGAAAATTGCACCTCAAATTGTACCAAAAACAAAATGAAAAGCAGGTGTGAGAGAAAGTGAGGTCAAAGACTGTCTCTTCCTGCTGCAGCCACACCTCCAGGTGATACTGCATACCTCATGTAGCCCTTCCCCAGTGTGTCCACTAGATGGCGACAAAAGCGTCCATGGGGGCTGTGCAAAGTAACTATACTACATTTTGGCTCCTTCAATGTATATTTTGCATACTTCTAAGAAAAAGCCCTGTCACTATTTAACGCTTTGTTGTTTAGAGCTGAGTGAGGGTAGTGCTCTATTTTTCACTTTTCTGTCTGGAGAGGCTGATCCGAAAATTAGGGTTAAAATTTAGAGATCCTTTTATTTGTCCCACAGTTGGACAAATGATGAAATGTCACTGTTGCATCACAAGTTACAGAACAGTGGCAATGACGATAAGATAAATCAATACAGAGTATAGCACAACTCTATACTTAACAAATTGTACAAAATAAAACCTTTATCTTAATGAAGAAACAAAGTGACAGAGGCCATAAATTCATGTGAAATCTATTTAAAGCAAAACTCTTTACTACTTACTACTGTCATTTGGGGTTTTTTTGTCTTTATGTAGAGAGAAATTGAGTTGTATTAACTTCCCGAACAACGTCACCTTTCAGCAATACTTCCACGCTGGAGGGAACGGTCTGAAGAAGGCTTTCCTGGAGAAGAGTCCTGAGCTGTCGTCGCTGCGTCACGCTCTGTCCTTGTACACACAAACGACCGACACACTCATCAAGACGTTTGTGAGCAGCCAACACGCTCAAGGTAACGATCTACTCCACCCACATCAGCTTCTTCTTGTGCCCTCCTTTTTGGATTAGAGTGGTATTATTTTGGCTTTCATGATTGCAGTGTCTAGTGACATTGAGGTGAAAGAAATCAAATATTTTAGGGGCATACATTTAAAAACAGATCCTTAAAAATGTATTGGTACTGGTATAGGGGCATGTCAGCCTTCAGCATTGTTATCATATATTTTAATATTCACTCATGATTCAACACGCTCACCGCTTTTCCACAAAGGTGCTGGTTCTAAGCCGGCTCCGGTTCTTCAGTCAGTTTTTTCACCTGTGCAGGGCTGGTATGCCTGTTACCATAGCAACGGACTCTTTACTAGTGCAGGGTTAGCATTCATTAGCTTCTCAACTATGTGTTTTGGCGGACCAACTTTATTCTACCTTGCATAACTTCAAAAAGTATAAAAGATTAAATACAGTTTTTTTGTTTTTTATTTCACCAGAATACATACTGTTAAAAATCAAGGCTCTTAGACAAGATCTTTGCGCACCAAAGTAACCTGGAAGTTGAATTCATCTCTTCAGTTTTTTCAGGCAGAATGAAATCAGGATATGTAGTAAATAGATTGTGTGACGTATGATTGTGCTGTCACATCAAAAGACTATTAGTCATAACAACATATGCAAAATTAAGTTGCCATGACCTATGTTATCTCTGCGTTTGTCAATGTTTAGGTAAAATTAGGTAAAACATGCCATGGTAGCCCAAAAGTATTTATATATCAAAGCCATGTTTTGAGTTTGAGACACGTTTAGATCAGCGAACATATTCCCCTCCTCACATTTCCTGATGCAGAAACTGTTTTTACTAATGCTTTATGTTCACCTTTGTATCCCCTGTGCTGCGTGTGCCAGTGCACAATGGAAAGGGCATTAGGTTTACTCCCAATGAAAAGATACAGCCCAGCAGAGGTAGGTTACCATCACCTCCAGCATGTCCTCCCTCTGTGTAAGTGTGCACGGGCCTGGCAACCCCTAACACAACCTGGCAACCCCCAAGACTGCCAACTCTTCGTCTCTTGTGTGTGCTCTGTGGTTGTGCTTGTGGAAAAAAATAAATGTGCTGTGTATTCTTACGTGTGCCAAAAGAAGGAAGTCACAGTTAAAAGCTTGTTATATGGAGCAAAATATCTGCTTTCTCCTTTCTTTTTCTGATAAATCACCTTTATCTGGATCTAAAGTGTTTGTGTTTTTGTAATCTAGGCTCCTGTGTGGACAAACCCATCGGTGAAGTGTGCGTCCACATAGAGCTCTACACTCATCCAAAGAGCGGCGAGCGCAAAGTCACTGCCAAAGGTTTGATTTTGTTTATTTACGTCTTATGCAGAGTATTTTATCCCCATTGTTTACATACATCTACAGAAAAAAGTTAGAAGACAAACACTTAAGAACGTTGGACTTGGCATATCATGTTTTTACGGTACTTGCAGGACTATTTAATATAACCCTGTATATAAATAGCTACATTTGAAAAGAACGATTTTTTACCAACATACAGGCTGCACTTGAATATAAGCCGCAGGTTTTTTATGTTTTAATGTAACACATACACACATGTTGGAGCAAACCATACAAGATACTCGAGTGATATCTGGTTTGTTTTGTCAACTGGTCAAATATTGAATGACCAGGAATTTTAACACACTGTTGACTCTCATTGATCAGAGCTCACTGGTAAATCCAATATATTTTGACAATAATTATCAAAATCATCTTATTACATTATACTGACCCCCCACTATATGTTGAGGGGGTCAAAAATATCTAACAAGATTTTTACTCTAAACAGGTTGCTCAAACACAATAAAAAAAATACATATACAGGCCACAGGGTTCACAGAGGTTGTGAAAAGTAGCAGCTTTATAGTCCAGCAAGTACTGTAAATCAGATGGTTCTAGAAGGTTATATTCAGTCCATTTCTTTTGTGCATAACGTTGCATTTTGAGTCTTTCTACACTTTATAAATGTTGTACTCAATCCACTCTTCCTTTATTATTGCTGCTTATTGCTTTGCTAGCCACTGCTCATTTCAATGGTTGCTTTCTGGTTCTGTTAAGTACTAGGATTTGTGCTATGCAATTAAACTGGTCTTGTCTTTGTGTGGTAATGTTTGATAAAAGGTGACGCGCACAGTTTGCTGCAATCTTCATGTCCTGAAAATGTTATTTCAATGACTACTTGTACGGTGCATGTCAAATGACAAATAATTCTTGATATCTATACAGTCATCTGTCGTAATGAATCCATATTTGTGTCGTTGCCAGTGGTGGGAGCCAGTGACCTGAAGTGGCAAACTTCTGGAATGTTCCGTCCTTTTGTGGAAATCACGATGATTGGACCTCATCTCAGCGACAAGAAGCGCAAGTTCCAGACCAAGTCCAAGAACAACAGCTGGTCTCCCAAGTTCAACGAGACTTTCCACTTGTGAGTAAAAGACCTAATAAGTTGAATAAATATACGAGAACAATCAGAACTTGAGGTTAAAGATGTGATCCAAAAGTTCCCCATTTTCAATGTTATCTGAACCTCTCAGTACGGCCCAGTCTCAATGGGGCCAAAAAATAAAATGATTGAATGCCTGTTCTGCTCATCAGGAATGTAGTGAATAATGACAACTACAGGTAGATTTTTATTGAAAGTATTTTTCTTAAATAAAAAAAACACATTATGAACACTCTTATGGAATAAATTCAAGGCTATCTGCTTTTATCGAACAGACAGTATGCAGAAGATACGGTCAGACTTTGAGGGAGAGATGAACGGAGACCAAATTCGAGGGCACAGGCCGGTCCAGCCGGTCCTGGACCAAGACTAAACCTGATCTACACCTGAAATAAACATTACTTATTTACTTACCTATAGAATAAATAAACAAGTTTGCTTCTGCATTAAAACAACTGTCTTCTACTCAGAACCACTTTTGCTGTCCCCAACATACACATTCAGCCAAATATTTGGCCTGAAAACAACCGTGCTGTGGATAGCCTGCATTGTGCCTTTAAGTTTTTAGTATTTGGAATTAATTGGGTTTTTAGTTTCGGAGTCGAAGCAGAATGTGAAGTTTATGGACTTTACTCAATTTTTCAATTTCAAAACAAAAAAGGAAAAACTTTGGATATGTGGGTTAAACACATCACTATTTTGACTTGTTCATGAATATCTTTCTTTTTCAGCATTCTCGGAAATCAGGACGGCTTCGAGTGCTACGAGCTGCAGCTGTGTGTGAAGGACTACTGTTTTGGGCGTGCGGACAGCGTGGTGGGCGTGGCTGTGGTTCAGCTCAGGGACATAAAGGGGAACTGCGCGTGCTGGTGTCCACTGGGCTACCGCCTTCACATGGACGACACAGGACTCACCGCCACCAGGATCCTGTCGCAGCGCTCCAACGACGACGTGGCCAAAGAGTTTGTTCGCCTCAAGTCGGAGACGCGCTCTGCAGAGGAGGGCACATGAGGCTCGTGTAAAAACTTACTTAAGTGTAATGAGATCCCCGTGTGTCTTAGCTGCTGGATGCCAACTTAACCGAGACACTGTCCAAAACTCCACATGTGGGGCTCAAACTGAGAGAAAAAACAAACATGTGATCACTGATAAAAAATGTGGAAACATTTGAGCACTTATTAGATTTGCCGAGGGAACTTTAGCTTTATTCTTATTTTAACCACCCTTTTTTCAATTACAAGTGAGAAATTGCTGGTCTTTCCCATATTATAACAACATCCTGCAAATTCCTCCCCCCTGAATTTTTAACCTTGCGACAATATTGTTCCCTCATCAGCTTTTGAGTTTTTAGCTTCATCCATACTAATATTAGGAACTGTTTTAATCTAAATGCTCCCATCTCAAACCTGGTACTCTATGACACGTCCAGGGCCCTGTTAATCCTTTTTAATCAAAGGTTTTGCCTCCAAGTTAATTTTATTTATTTTGGTTTGGTTTTTACAACTGTGAGACTCAGAAAACAGAAAGCACCATTTGATGTTGGCATTTTCATTCATTCTGCCACCAATTATTTTACTGAGATCCTTATTTGTCATGCATTTATGCTCTCTGTAACTATTATTTCACATTTTAAAACATGAGATGCCACTAAAGTCTCAATATTATGTTCAAGGGCCAAAAATAAGCCAAAACAAGAATAGTTTTGTATTTTCCATTGGCAAATCTAGTGTAAAGCAATGATGTTATATTTTTGCTGTGTATTTTAGCAATCAGCCAACCTTGAATTAGGGATCATTTTGTGACCAGGTTGAAATCCACGGCTTTCGTCCAAGAATCATTCAGTTTCCACATTCCACCAGTAGAGGGCAGCAGTCAGCCTCTGTTCTCTCCAGTGTCATCCTGCAATAACCCGTTTTCCCCGTTTTAAATGCCTTACACGAAACTCGTGATGTAAAAGTGACAAAATATATTTTAAAATCACGACTGAAGTGCTAGCCAGAACTCAGGCCTTTTCTCCAAACGTACAGCCAGGAAAGAAAGAGTTTTTCGGTTGTGCCTTGGTGTTTTATCCATGAGTGATTTTATGTTGCCCCTGATATTGTATTGTTATAGACTACCTTTTATGTGAGAAACAGTGGTTTCAGGAGGCCTCATTTTATTTTTATTTTTATACAAACTGTATTTATTCGTACTGTTTCCAAGGCCATATTTTATTTAAAGTTGTGTTTGTGTTTGGGGAATTGCACAGTTTAAAGTGTTTATGTTATCCCAGAATTTTTAACATTGACTGCGTTTGGTTTTAAAAACACTGAAGATTATGATTTATTATAACAATAAATATTCCGAAAGCCTAAATATAATTACAGTTTACACGTATTTAGTCCAAGACAAGTCGCAGTGGCCTTATTTTGCTCTTAAAATTGTAACTCTTAAGTAACTTTTAAGTAACTTTTAATGTTCTTATATCCTTGTTTCGCTCCTTCCTCTGATTGTGTCAATTATTTTTCACAGCAGATGTAATTATTTTATATATTGTTATGTCTCTTTACAGAAATATTTGGGGTCCAACATTGTGTGAGACAGTGTGATGTGAAATGTGCCAGTAAAATCACGTCTTTTGTCACGACATTTTCTCATGTACACTTTCTAAATGCACAAATTATGTGAAGCTTGTTACATTAAGGTTATTATTTTGTATTTATACTTTCCCCTTGTGCCACTTTTTATGCTGGTTTCAACCCTTTGTGAACCTTTGCACATACACAGACCACCGCACTTCCCTCTCTGCATTGTGTTGGTGTTTTCTTTCTTAAATGTGTCACTGTACTTCAGTGTAATAATTGTAATTAATGATTTTTGTATAAAGTCTTGGTAAAATATTTATGCATTATCTTTTTTTTACTATAGTATTACAAGCTTTTAAAAGCCATGTAACAACAAATGACTACAACAAAGTAAAAAAGTATATTCAAATTTCACTCATAATTTTACAATATGATTTGATACAACTATGTATTATTTGCATTAGAATACACAAAAAAAAATTCTACTTGCTCCTTTATTTTGCTAAATTGTCTTGCTTCTTGGTCATGCTAAAGAGAAATTTATTCCAGTTTCTTTTTACGCTAGAGTCAGAGATTTTATTGTAGAGTTGTTATTCATTAATCTTGTGCTGTGTGCTCCTCATTCTGTCTGCAAATTGTGACGCGACACTGAAGTTTCCCCACAAACAAAGGATCGCTTAATCTTAATCTGTATTGTACTTGCATCAGTGGCAGTAAAGACAAACTTGTCAAACCAATACTAGATATGTAGTTACCTCAAACCACTAAATTCACTAAAAGGAGTAAAAGTACTGTTAGAAATGGGCACTGTAATTAACTAGCTACTGCCTCTGCATATTTTAATTCATGAGTTAAAAATGAGTCATGTCACTACACCTCTGCTCTGAGAAAGCACTGGGCTGAAAGACTCCATCACCATACACCTGTTTATGTTGTATTGTATTTTCCTCTATATTTGAATTCATTCAACATATGGACACATTAAATACAGATTCATAATAGGACCCCAAAGCAAATAATGCCATCAGGTTTGGAAAAAGGGCAAACATTTATATATTTATTTGAATGGGACAATGCATGTCAATGAACAGACGAACACATTAAAAACATGAATGTAAACACATTACAGCCAATTAGAGACAGATTAGAGCCAATGTTAGAGTCCACATCACTGCACACATCAGATTCTTGCATTACAGTCAACCAAATCTTGTGTTCAAATCTTGAACAGATCTAAATCCCACAGAAGACACAAGAGGGAGACTTAATGACCAGGGAACAGACAGACACGTGAAGAACGCTACCTGAGGTGTTCTGAGTGCATTGTGAGCCTGCTCCCGTCACAGGACCAATCTTGGTAAGGTCCCATTAAAGAGTGCCTCTGCAGCCACCTTTCTGCATCTGCACAAATACAATTTAGTGCAGAGACTACAGATTTTTAAAGAACGTGCGATGTCTTTACTCCGAAGTTCGCCTGGGTCTGCTCTGGACACTGATGTCTGTTCTCCAGAGTTCACCTGAGTCACGGCTGATCAGAGGCTGCCACAATTTTTGCTACTGGCCTTTTCAATGGCAGCTAGAAGTTTTGTGGCATTTTCATTGGCAGATATAAGTAAAAAAATAGAAATGCATGCAACCTATTATATAAATATTGTAAGATCTAAGCAAGAAAAAAAGCTATTGGAGTCGGTGTACAGTAATGGAAAAGTTGTGGCAATTTCGACTGACCACAAGGTGGCGCATATGCAATACTGACGTGGTTGTGAACAGTACGTTTATGAATTGTCACTAAATATGTAACCACTGGGCACAAACTACTTTGTCGAAACTAATAAACAAGAGTAGGTTACGGCTAAAGCTAAGTTACAGCATTGCCCCCCAGCTCAACTTACTTCGACAGCATTTAGCCAGTAGCTGTTTCAGTGGATAGATTTTGTACTTGTGTTTTGCCTATTGGTGATCTGGCCTCTGTTGGGCAAAACAGCACTAAAGCGGTCATGAAGGCTCACCAGAGCAGCCCATAACACATCAGGATTAATGCACACAGCATAAAAGCTTGGATGTGCTGTAATGCACGGCAGATCTGTAAAGTATGTCAATCTATCAATCAATCAATCAAATTGTATTTATAAAGCGCTTTTCATACAAAAAGAGTAACACAAAGTGCTTTACAGTTTAGTTAAAAACAATCCAACATGCCCAGCCCTAAACCCTCCTCCCCACAGACCCCCCCAAAACCACATTTATAATTATATATACAACCACATGCGTATACACATACACACAGACACACACATACAAGTATAAAGTCATATCAGGTAAAATAGGTAAAACAATAAAAAGAAAAGGGGCTGGGAGCAGATGTAACCGGCTGAAGAAGCGCCATCCAAGGAGCCATCTGCACCAGGAGCAGAGAGCCGGCTGCAGCCACAGGGAACGACACAGGACCCAGAGGAGAGAGGGGCCCCAGACCCCACCAGGCCCAGGACTCAGATCCCATAGGACCCAGAGGAGAAAGGAGGCCCCAGACCCCCACCGGATCCAAGAGCCAGTCCCCCGAAGCCACAGCAGACCCCAGCTCTCAGTGCAGAGGGCTCCTCCAGAGGAAACACTGGGGACACTAAAACAATACAATAATACAATAGAAAGTAGAACAATAAAATGTGACAATAAAAAGAAAAATGGCAGCTGCCTAATATTGATAATAATAGTAAATGGGTAGATACAATAAATACTTAAAAATAGTAAATGATAAAAATAAATAAAAATATAATCCGTCTAAAAACATAAATAGATGTACTAAAAAGCAATAATAAATAATAAATACTAATCAAAAGCTAATCTAAAAAGGTGCGTCTTGAGCCTACTTTTAAAAATATGAACGTTCTCTGCGGCCCTGAGCTCCTCCGGCAGACTGTTCCAGAGACGGGGGCCGTAGTGCTGGAAAGATGCCTCGCCGTGAGTGTGTGTCCTGACTTTGGGGATGGTTAGGAGTCTGCTGCCGGAGGAGCGCAGGGGCCGGGAAGGTTCATAGGATAAAAGCAAATCTGAAAGATAAGAAGGCCCAAGACCATTAAGACATTTAAAAACCATTGAAAGAACCTTAAAATCGATCCTGAAACACACGGGGAGCCAATGCAGCGATTTTAAAACCGGTGTAATGTGGTCCCGCCCCCTGGTCTTAGTCAGGACACGTGCGGCCGAGTTTTGAAGTAATTGTAAACCTGAAATGTTCTTTTTGGGAAGACCAGACAGCAGGGCATTACAGTAGTCAATGCGACTGGTGATAAAAGCATGCATCAGCGTCTCCGTGTTGCCCCGAGAGAGAATGGGGCGGACTCTGGCGATGTTCTTTAAATTATAAAAACCTATTTTTGTGATGTTCTTGATGTGAGGAATAAAAGTCAGCTCAGAGTCAAAGATTACGCCCAGGTTTTTCACTTGTGA